CAAATAATTTGATTATAACAAAAATATCAAAAGACTAGTCTATAACAAAATATCAATTCAATAATTCAATATCAACATTTTGATTAGCATAATACAGTCTTAAGCTACTTGTTCACAAGATTTAAAGTATACTTTTGAGAGAGAAAGATGAATTATTTAAGTATTAAAAGGTATTTGTTTTATTATATTATTTATTCTCAAGTTTCAATATGTTGAGTTAGAGCTCAACTATAACTCATATTTATATATTTTTTTAAAATACAAATATAATATTAAAAACAAGAAAAAGATAATTATATTAACTAAAAATAGATAATTTACTAAATATAAAAAGTAGAGAAATAAAGAAGAAAAAGTATAAATCTCAAAGAATTTTAATTGGTTAAATTATATCTACTCAGAATAAATAAGTATAAAAGTATAAAAAATATAAAAAAATATAAATATATAAAAGTATAAAAAGTATAAAAGTATAAAGTAGAAAAAGTATAAAAAATATAAAAAGTATAAAAAAATATAGGAAAATAAAATAAAAAAATAAAAAATATATGAATACTATAATTAATAATATATAAGAAAATTATAAAATATTCAAAGTTTTTATAATTTTTGTAAAATATTACAAATTATGAAATTAACAAATTTATAATATAATTATAATAATATACTTCAAATTTTGTATATAAATAATCTTATATTATATCGAATTTATCAAATTGCTGATGATTTTAGATTATATTATGCTAAACAAATTGTTGTTATTGAATTATTGAACTTTATATCATACTATGCTAAACAAATTACTATATTAAAAATTATTGAAATTGAATTATAAGTATTTTACTTTTATTTTTAATTATTAACAAATATTTCTTACTTGTGAGAAGAATAAAGTGAAAGAATTTTTGTTATTATTATTACTAATTATATTATCTTAGTTCTAGAAAGCTTTATACAAGTACAGAATTATCTTTTTTAAATTTTCTTTATCATTTTTTATTCTCTCTCTCCTTTTTGATCTTTATTTTTTCACAACTTTCTTATATTATTATTTCTTTTAAGTAAATACAATTTCTATAAAAATTAGCATAAGTCTTAGATATTTCTCTTTTCTCTTAATATTTTTTTTATTAGTTTATACTCTCTCTTAACTCAGATTCTTGTTTGTAAGCTAATTTTATAATTAGTAAATAAACTTGTAATAATATTCTCTCTTAATATTTCCAGCCAGATCCAACTTAAAAGCAAATAATAACAAAATAAATTACTTATAAATATTAAATTATAGATTAATTTAACTGATATAATGAATTTACTTGAATACAATTAACTCATAAATTATTTGAATATTCTACAATTACCAGAAAATCTAATAGTAAAATAATAATAAAAATTCAAAAATAAAATAATATATTATATTATCAGAAATCAGATACTATATTGATAAAATAATAGAGATTCTGAATAATTATTAAAAGTGATTAAAATAACTAAAATAGAAGAAATATTATTCAATAAACATTTAGCAATTCATATTGAATATTTTGAAATATAAGTAATATATTATAGAATATCTCAAAACTATTATTGATCAAATTTACACCAAGATATCAAAAACTATATTAAAGCATATAATATATATTAAAGAAAAAAAAATAATTTATTGCATTCAATTGAAATAAAATTACTATTCGAAAAAATTAAAATTAATTTAGTAGAACTATTATCATTTACCTCTAATAAAAATAGATATGTAATAGTTGCTATTGATTATGAAACAAAATAAGCAAAAACAAGAGCTATTTCTGATGCAATATCAACAATAATAATATCATTCTTATATGAAGATATTATTTATAAATATGAATTTTTAAGAGAATTAATTTCTAATAGAGGAACAATCTTTATTAATGAATTAATTAGAACATTATGTGAAATTTATCAAATTAAATATTATCTCTCAGCATTATATCATTCTCAAACAAATAAATTAATTAAATAATTAAATAGAACATTGTATGAATTATTAGCAAAATTAGTATGATTACATAAAAATAAATGAAATTTTTACTTACCTTCAGTATTATTTATCTATAGAACAATTCAACAAGTACAACCAAATTCACTTCATCTATAAAAAACAAGCAATAACTCCAATAGATTTAAATTATAATTATTGAAAGAAAATGATGAAGTTACAACAAATAAAATCATCAAGCAAGCTTGTATAATAATGAACAAATTAGAAATTAATAGAACAATGGCTCATCAAAATATTCAGAAATCTCAACAAAAGCAAAAAGAATTATATCAGCAAGATAAAAATGCACAAACTTTCTTTATTTGAGATAAGTCTTAATGAAGAGGATGGAAATACAGTACTAATATCATGAAAAATTTTTGCAAAAATGAAAAGGACCATTCTATATCCATAAAAAACTTGATAAAAGAGCCTATCGACTAAGAACAATAGATGGAAAACTTTTGAAAAATCTCTACAATGAAGATCATTTAAAACTATATCTTGAAGATAATAAGTTAGAACCAATAATTATGATTCAAAATTAGAGTTAGCTAATCTGACTGAGAAGTCAATAAACTAAGCTTTGGGATTGGTTAAATCATATATTGTCTTTTGGATGAGAATCATAAAATTTTTCAAAATATCAAAATTAATTTTAACTGAAGAATATTATCATCTTAAATCCTATCATAAATTCTTTTGATACAAGACAGTATACATAACTACACTCATTATTCACAACAATCATACCTATTCAAAATGTTCACTTTACCGTTATAAAATGATTTTAGTGAATAATAAATATGTGAGTAGGCAATAATATTAATATTAACATTAAAATTAACGAAGATAGATATTATGCAATGTATAGCTTGCTGCTAAGAAAGTATTTAACATTATTGTTATTGTTTTCTATAGTTAAATAATAAATATATAACCCAAAATATCATTTTCTTTGATGTTATTTTATTGTAGTTCATAATGTAGTTTTTCTTGTACAGTGAATTATTTTTTGCATTTTGTGGTAACTATTTTTTAGTTTTAGATAATCCACACAAGTTTTTCCCATGGTATTTTCAGGAGAATAATGCAACACCACATAGGTCAAAGGTTGCAACAGCCGCTCGCGAAGCTTCTGGAATCAAGACGTTATTTTAGCCTCCATAGAAATTTGTGGCATGATCCCCTTCACCATCTACGTATTCTCACAGAACGTGAAAGTGGATTGGATCTTACGATCGAAAGCTTATTTATATAGTATGCCCGTTCGAATTGCCACGATTATTGCTTGCAAATGGATATCATAGAATGCATTAAGCTAATATTGAAATTTTATTGTTTTTAAGTTGTCAAATTTAATGGTTTGTAAATGGTCAGATCTTTATGACGACCCACTGTATGTATCTCTTCATTCTCTGAAGAAAAAAGTTACTAAATGAAAAAAAATACCTTCGTCTGATTGACATTTGTAGCACCTGAATGTTCAATATGATTTAGGTGAAGTACGTAATAACAATACGTAACACAATAATAACGATAAAAATGTCTACAAATAAAATAATCAAAAATATCACTGAAGGAATAGAAAACTATTCGATTAGGCTACTATATCAAGAAGAAAGCCAAGTCGAGGATTTAAGAAGACAACACATAAAGGTTTGTTTATTACTCACTGAAATTATTTTATAATAAAGTTGTTGACAGATTTTTATATCGATACGTATACAGTATGTCAGAAATAATGTATCAGTATCATTGGACAGTGATTTTTATTATGATGGATGTGATTGTACAGATAATTGCGAGTCGTCAGAATGTGGATGTAAATCTACTCATGGTATTTACCGTTACTTATCTATTTGAAATTTTATTAATACCTCCGATACTAATCAAATCAATTTCGTACTTATATAGGTTATTTTTATAACAGTCAAATATCAGGTCTAGATCCGAATCTGGTTCAATCCTCAAACGCTACATTCAATCATACAATTTACGAGTGTAATTCTTTATGTGCTTGTTCAAATCAATGCCAGAATCGCCTCGTGCAGCATGGAATTTCTTTGCCATTAGAAATATTCAGAACATCTTTGTGTGGGTGGGGCGTTCGCGTATCATCATCTTATACGAATAATCAGAGAAATAATCAAGAAAAAGATGTGGACGACCAAGTTGTGATTAAACAAGGTCAATTTGTTTGTGAATATGCTGGTGAAATCATAAAAACGGACGAGGCACGACGAAGGTGGAGATCATACAAGAGTGACTATGGAATTACTGATAATTATATATTTTGCATAAGAGAGCATATTGGGTATGTAATAATCTTGAATAAATGGTGTTGCTTTTTTTCTAAACTGAATGAAAATACCTATCGCTATAATTTTAAAGAAAAGATCGCGTTCTTCGGACGGTAAGGCGAAATTCTAACTGGGGGGGGGGGATTATATTTGTTTACATTATTTATGATAAATCCCTGAATTTAGAATATAGATCCAACACGGGTAGGAAATATCGGCCGATACATTAATCACTCATGTTCACCAAACCTGCGAATGTTTTTAGTTCGAGTAAATTCTATAGTCCCAATCGCAGCATTATTTGCTACACGTGAAATTCGGGAAAATGAAGAATTGAGTTTTGACTATTCGGGGCAGATTGGAATGGGAATTGAAGATGAGAAGATAAACAATAACGAAGAAGATAGTGTTAGTAAAAATGGCATCATCGTTGGAGAAAGAAAACCCTGTTTTTGTGGAAGTGAGAATTGCTGTGGGTATTTGCCTTTTGATGAATCATTATGAACAATAAATGTTTCGCTAGGAATAGAGTTTTTACCTGTATCGCTGCACGCTCCTTTTCTCGCGCCAAAGATCATTAATCACACATAACGACAAGAGCATTTTGTCAAGAACTCAATAGGATTAATTTTAGAGTCTTATCCACATCAAGAGGTTTGAGCTAAATCTTCGTTAACATCATATGTTTTAACCTTAAAGCTGATTGTATTTAACAATAATAAATCAGTTATTCTGTCATCTCGTACCTATGAATTTAATAGTAAAATAAACATCATTGAAAGAATATTCTCACAGTTAAGAGGTTCAATGGTCTCTAATTATATTTATTTTGCCAAAGCAAATAACTAAAATACAAAATGCAAATTATACTTATCAGATTTTTCCGTACCCAAATATAACTTCGATCAACAATACTAATAGAGTATTCTTTGAACAGACTCGATAAATTCTATGAAATTTCTAACTACGTATTATGACATTTCGGTGAAAGCTAGAATATTCCACGTACTTTTTCAACACACTCGATAATATTGGTGGCGCAGTCGCAATATTTTGTGATACACTTTCTGATGCTTGGGTGAAGCGAGAACCGAATATCGAACCTTGAGTTTTTGAAATATTGTGTTAAAAACGAAACGGTACTACCGCAACTAAATAAAAGTAATAACGATCAACACACTTTTAGATTTATTAGCGTTAGTCGCAGCAGTGAGTTTGTAGAGATAAATGTATTACGTATTACATTGGGGTATTTCATCTACGTACTAAATAATCAAGTCTATATGAGGTATCGGTATCATAATAAAATTTACTAATACCAGTTACACGATTTGTCACGCAGATCTGTGGAGTAAATTTTCTTCTATATAATTTGAGAGATCGACATCTCATTATTTATATGTAAGTAGCAGCCTTCTTTATTCGTTTTTTTAAAGGTTCCTAAACAGAAACTGTACTCATGCGATGCTATGCTACAGTTCAGTAAGACGAGTGCTTTCTTATGTGCAAGTTTGAAAGGGGATAAAAAATAAAGCTGAGAATAATCTCGTCTGCAAAGGTTGTTCGTCACGTTATAGTGTATAATAATGGCAACACTATAGAGCTTCCCATTTCACCAATTTGGAAAGGTTTTTGGAGCAGTTAGTGTAGTTATGAACTACTGATGTAATTACAAACCACCAGAAGTGGTTACGGACTATATATAAAGGCGAGTTGCAAGTTATCGGGAGTGGTTATGAGGCTTCGGGTTGGGTGGGTTGGGTTGGTTGGTTACAACTGTAAGAGGCTATTAGTAATAGGATATCAAAATGTATATATTCAATAATATTCTAACAAGTGCTCTCAATTTTGAGCTTGTCCATTGTTGAAAAATATTGTCGAGTCAATGGATCATCTCGTTTGAATTCTTGTAATTCTAAAAGTTCAAGTTGTTTGAAGATGCAGATATCAGGAGTCAGGCGTCACTCTTGCATGTCACTCATCCACTTGGTTTTTCACTTTTGCTTGACCCCTATTCTCACTCTTGCCTATACTCGTCCTCTCACTTTTCATTAGGTTTATTGGTAAGCGATGTAGTATCAACGAAAAACCAATTATTAATGGGTTTGATAAGGGTGAAAACTGATTATTTATTTGAAGATGACAGATAAGAAGGGTAATAATCTAGCTATCAATTAGGTTATACATGTATATAGTTACTAAGTATCTGTAAAAAATAATAATATAATTGTAAAGAATGATGATGAGAATAGTAATGATGATTGATAATAATAAATTTTAATGTGCATTTGTTAAAGTATTAAACATAAAATAAAGAATCTTTTCTTGATATAATTATTCTCACCTAATAATAATAGTATATGTATAAATATGCATTGAAATTCAAAAAGAAAATTGCAATAATAATTGTTAACCAAATGCTATTGTTGCAATACACATATATAAGTATACACTGTAAGCCAAAGTGCTATAACATTAGTTTTATTCAAATTGTTATATTAAATAAATAAAAAATAAATCAAAAATCAAAAAATTATGGAATTCTTACCTGAAGCTTCGCTTGGCCATGAAGAGGAGATTTACAATGACTTTAATCAAGAATTCAGCATTGATGTTGAACAAATGATAGCGTATAATAAAGAAGTTTTCACATTTGACTGGTATTCATTTAAGAGAACACGAGAAATAATCACCAGATATACTGAGGAAACAGATAATAAATTCATCGAAAGTGATAATGAAATGGAAATATTTGAGAAGGAATTTTGAAAGGACTATTTCTTCTCTTGCGAATCATGTTATTAAACTAACATATTGTATTATTATTGACAATGACAATGATCAATACATAATCCAAAGGTGTAACAATGTAGGAATTCACAGTGTGGGACAACTTTCTGATACGTGAGAGATTGACTCTAAAGCTATGCAAGAAGTTGAAAATGAAATTTCAAAGTTGGGTATTTGTTTGCGTCATCTCAACTATGACCAAAATACTGTACACAAACCTGAATCAGGAAGATATATAAAGGTAGTACAAATAACTGAAGAAAGCATTATTATATCACACCACTGTTTATTTTGTAAGAAACTTCAATGCTTTTTTACAAGAGGTAAAACATGTTCAATACATGTATGAAAAGTGTATGAATGTGTAATTCAAGCTCTGTGCCATGGATTGTTCAACTGTCCAACAATAACTTCATATAATAGATTGTTGACTAAGTCATTTACTGATGATTATCCTCATTTTATTTGCACAAACTGTTTTGTAATACATGGAGAACATCTACATATTCAGCTAGAAAAAGAAAAATGATCAGTTTTATGCTTAGAACAAGAGCAACACAATACTGATACTACCTTTGCTTTGAAGTTATTTGGTAAATGGATTGAACAAATCGCTACATCAGATAATAAAACCATAAAAATTAGTTTACTAAAAGAGCTTGTCAATGTTCTTGATAATTTTATCATGGATATACCTAAAATATAGAATATCATTGGTGCATCTTCTACTATTTTTACAGTTTCAAGTCTTTTTTTAATCAAAACAGTATTTGTTATCAAAAAAATTGATATTAATGAAAAAGTACAAGCAATCCAATTGAAAACTACTACATGCAAGAACTTTGAAAGAATACTTGCTCACTTTATATTACAAGCACGATTAGAACTCAAGCAGAAATTATTATCACTCGAAGAATCAGAATCCCTGAATGAATACTATAATACTATGCTGTCACTTCTTATAAACCTTTTGGTTGATTTAATTTCAGTTCTAGAAGAAAAGAGGAATCAAATATTAAATAGAAAATGAAAGAAGAGAAACTTATCTCCATTATAATTAGATGAAAAAAAACCAAAGTCTTATATCTTTTTTCACTTTTATTTTACTTAACATTGTTTTTTGCCATTGGAAAATATGATTTACACATGTTCAAAAAAAATATTAGCTGCAGAACTTCGGTCAAGACTCAATCTGCATCCGAACATTTGAAATCTTGCAGTTATCAATAATATCAATATGAAAGATAATACTTTTCAATATGATAATATTTTTGATGCAACTTGTGATACTGTACATGTGACATTGTGGATGATTTTTCAGTTTCAATATTCAGCACTTGCCAATGTAAACGAAGAATCATTGGAAAATCCAAACCTATTTGACAGAAGTTCTATTATGAAAAAATGACAAGAAAAAATTAATACTGCATTTGGTCAATTAATTAATAAAGAGCAGAAATTTGATGTTGAATATCTTGATGCAATTATTAAAAAACATATTGACTCAGCATTATTTGTAACACCTCCAAATGTTGTAATTCTTGAGCCTGGAGAAGCTCCAAGCAAAAATGAGTATGTTCATCTGGCTGTCGACATGTTTCTCGAAGACTTTGGTTATATAGAGAATAGCATATTACATTTGATGTGTGATAAAGCAATTTATCATTGCATGAAAGATTACAAGAATAAAGAACAAATAGTATATTGCATTCTAGAACAATGATATACTAACAAGTCAATGTGCAGTGCACTAATTTGCCTTTTCTGATTATGAACTTTTTGAACTTGCTGTACAGCTTGATATTTGATTTCTTGACAGATTTGAACAAGTTGCTGATTATTGAGCAATATTTCGAGTACTTGAGCTTATTTGAGTAATGGTTAAAATTGTGATCCATTTATATATTCAGAAAGAGAATATTTCTATTAGTGATATCCTTACAACAAATAACAATCTGCTTAAAGTATGATATAACTTTTACCAATGGGCAGAATACTTGAAATTGTATAAGCTTGATATTTACATGACAAACTTTAATTTACAAATACATAGCTTGATAGTATTTACTCCTTTATTTTCTATAGCTGGAAAAAGAAGATATGCTGTGTCTGTGACATGATTTTTGTTAGATCTTTAAAGCAAGTCAAAATTTCTTCAAGCTCTTCAGATGATATCTTCAATCAATTTGACATGTGAGGAGCATTATTTTACTTTAGACGAGGCTCTGGAAACATTCAGAGTGAATTTCATAAAGAAAAATATGATCAGATAGATAATTAATTCAGAGAATCTAAAGCAGAATATTAAAGCAGCACAAGCAGAGTATGACTGACTTAACTTGTTGATTTCAGAATTTGCTGGAGATTAGTCAGTGAGCAGAAGTGCACAGTCTGTTAAGGATCATCAAGAAGCTTTTTGAAAATTAATTACTAAACTCAAAGTAGGATTTAGTAGCTCACAGTCAGAATCACACTTCTTATTTGCAGAAGCTATGCAATTATAAATATTGATTTTTAACAAATATTTACTTGCTATGAATCAGGAATCGAAAGAATGATTATCATTGTTAAGCAAGATATTCATCATACTGTTCTCCAAGTGAAATCAGAATGAGGTAGATAGAATCTGATGTCTATGAAGTCAATAAAAAAGAAGAAGACTGATTGCATATCAGAAATAAGGGTAGAAGCAGGAGGTAGCAGTTCTGTGCAAGCTCCAGAACTAATTAATATGAAAGTTGAAGAAATCAATCCAGAATTAATTAATATGGAAGTTGAAAATATCAATAAAGAAGACTTGCAATTAATACCATTATCTGAAATCAGTTTGTTTTTCAGATCCACACTTCAAACATCACGTCCAACAAAATACAAATCCACAGCAGTTGAAAAACAATATCTGAAATAGCTTGAAACATACAAAGAATCCACTATATTACCCAGAGAAGTTGTCAATAAGCTGATGGAAAAGTTGTCGCAATATACTGATTATTGAACACCAAAGTGAGTTCGAGATCAATAGTATAATCAATATAAGAGATCAAAAAAGGTATGTGTAAATATACTTCAGGATGAATCTGAATTAAATATTGTGTTAGAATCTATACAATCCAAAGCAAATTATCATTATAACTTCTATATTACTTTCTTTTTATTTAGTTAAATCTTGAAGTACCAGCTAAGAATGACAATTAGTATTTGCCTAAACGGATAAGAAATTTTAAACCTTGCATATATTTTGACTCATGTTTAACTGAATGGATACATTCTAATAATTATAAAAAAATTTTTGTTAATTAAAAGAAATATTGTTATTATACTATATCATAAAACAGCTTTTCCTAATTTTCTTCTACATGTTTATAATGTACTAATCTCTTGAAGTAAAACTTTGTAGATGGTTATTGTTTAAACGTATCTAGTAAATCACTTTTTATGACAAGAATTTGTGAACTGAAGAATAATCTAGCAAAAATAGGTAAAATGAATATTAATTTCAAAGATATTACACTTTATAGGGAGACATTAGTTTTTCATAATCTTTGTATTGCTCTGTTTATAGAAATCTCAACAATAATTTTGTTTTAGAGAACTTTGTGCATTTTGACTAAGACTTTGAACAAAAAATTCACATGTATGATTAATCGATTTTTTAAATCGATCGATATAATATGTTTAATTTTTATGTGTGACAAATTGTGTGACTGATACAGATTTTTTTATGTATATATCAGTATTATTTGACATTTCTGCACACCATGTAGATCCTAATTAATCCTGGTAATATTACGTATTTAGCCAATAGAATTCTACGTGTTAATGTTAAACATAAAATAAAAACTTTATCGATATATAAATACAGAGACCTTCCAGAATATTGTGAACACATTTTAAAATACAATAACACAAAAACTAATAAAAAAGCAAAATTTATAATTCTAAGCTAATAGAATCATTGAAACTTATTGTACATTATATTAAAATTGCAAGTAATTTCAATAACTAGTTCAAAATAAATATATATTTAAATATAAAAATATAATTTAGTATCAAACTAAAAATTTATGTGAAAAAATTTATTCTATTTTATAAATATGCCAATATCTTCATATTCAGTAAACCAAATTAAATAATTTTATATTACCAGATTCACCAAGTCAAGATGTATCTAATAATATTAAAATCATATAATTTGAATCATTAGATATAGAGATATATGGTGCATAATATCTAAAGTCATCAAATATTTGTGTTTTATAAAATGTATAAATAACTTTACTAAGAAGTAAATACAAAATTTAATCCATGAATATTCTCAGAAAGAGTCTATTCTATCATATTCATGGATTAAATTTTGCATTTACTTCTTTGTAAAGAAGTTTATATATTTTGTAAAATACAAACGTTTGATGACTTTAGATGTTATGCATCATAATATCTCAAAAATACTGTACAAAAATTGGAGTAAACTTTTAAAAAAAACCATTTTTATAAATATCTCTGCATCTAGTGGATCAAATTGGATGATTTTGATATCACTAGATTAACATAAATAAGATGAATCTGATAATATCAAAATCATCTAATTTGGTTAATTGGATGCAAAGATATTCACAAAAAATTATTTTTTTTCAAAAAATTTATTCCAGTTTGGCACGTTATCTTTGAGATGTGATATTTTCGTATCTAGTAATCCAAATTGAATGATTTTAATATATTAGATATGTCTTATCTTGGAAAATTTGTGAATAAAATTTATTTAATTTGATTCACTAGATGTGAAGTTATTTGCATTTTTGTAAAATAATATTTTTTTCACATAAATTTTGATTTGATACTAAATTTTATTTTATATATATTTATATATATTTTTTGAACTAGTTATTAAAATCACTTAAAATTTTGATATAATATACAATATGTTTCAATGATTCTATTAGTTTAGAATCATAAATCTTGCTTTTTTATTGATTTTTGCATTATTGTATTTTAAAAAGTGTTCATAATATTCTGGGAGGTCTCTGTATATTAACTTCTGGCTCTTGTGAGTTCATAGTATTTTTCGTAAAGATAGTATATAAAATTATCTTTGGGACTCTTAACAAGACTAATTATATTATTAAAATCTAAAGCAATGTGAAATATTGGTATATTGAAAATGTTGATATTATTCACCAAAATTTATAAAAGAATATTATTTACTTATCATCATTGTCATTATTATCGTTATATTATTGTTATTCTTATCATATTATAGTCTATTTTTTATGAAGTTGCATTGCATTGACTGGAGATTCTTTAAAAACTATGACTACTGTAACATATAAAATCAAATAGTTAGCTAGAGAAAGATATCAAGTTTTATTTAGCTTAGAAAGGTACAACAATATTTCTTGTGCTATAGAGATGTTGGGATAGAAATGAAGTTGGCACTTAGTGAGGATTTTCTATAATTAACTATATGAATTTAACCGTGTGAACGGGTATCAATCCCTTAATTGATACACTTGCTCAAATATTAACATTAAGGGACAAAATTTGTGGATCGCTAAAGACATATAGATCTTTGACTAATATATTGGGTCAGATTAATGAAAAGTTTACTACTTTGTGTAAATATTCTTTAAAAAATATTGTAGTTGTAGTGATAATAGTTAAATAACAAAAAGTAAAAAATTAGATATTTAATTTCAATTAGTACGTACAGTAAATAGATTAATTTGTGAAATTAAAATATTTTAATAAAGGTAAAAATTTTGTTTTTTGCTATTTTATTAAGAAACATATATGTGTAACTATACTTTATGCAATCGTTGATCCTTTAATTAATTCACTACCGCTACAAGAGACATAATCTGTGACCGCTATGCGTGCATGTACGATGTAGACATTTCGGTATCGGTTGCGGCGAATCATTAGAAATTCAATATCACGTAACGGTAATGCTCAGCCATTTCTTTGTTCATCCTTTTTCATATGTATGTACTATACTCATTAATTTGGCGTTTCTGCTTATCCCTAAAAAGATCTCGAAATAGAACAGTACGTACATACGTATTTATTCTAATGTGTAAAAGCTTTAGTTTCCATATATAGAGGGTGGGTATTTTTACTCTTCTTCATTTCATGCATCAATCGTTTGACAAACACATGTGAACGACGACGACTTCCACTCCACCACATATAAATCTTCGTTTTGGACATAAATCACTGCCATCATCACTATTCAACTCAAAGATGGCATTTATTATTCCTCATGATTGTAGTGAATGTGACGATTGTCAACGCTATTACAACTACTGCAAAGCGTGTTCAGTTCACAATATTCATGATTGTAGAAAGAACTGTTACAATTGTAACTACTATAAGTACTGCGAGGAGTGTTCAGTTCGCAATACTCATGATTGTAGTAAATGTGCCGAATGTCAAAAAAAATGAGTTCTGCTGGCGCTGTTTCCTATATCACAAACGAATTTATGCTGAATGGTCTAGCGGAAACAAAGATATCGACAGTCTCAATAATATTAATAAGTATAAAGTATTTAAATGGATCCCTCTTGAAAGATTTACCAATGTTGAATATCTTGCAAAAGGTGGTTTTGGTTCAATTCATAAAGCAACCTGGTTAGATAACATGTGGAATCATAAAGAAAATAAATTCAAACAAAGTGATAAAGACAAAGAAGTTGTAATAAAATCATTACACAATTCAAAACAAATTACATCCGAGTTTATAAACGAGGTAAAATGAACACCTTCAAGTGTCAGCATATGGATTTTTGTTTTTCAATCTAATTAACTTTCAGACGGTTCTAGAGTGCACTGATGATATAAAATCTTATGGAATAACTAACAACTCAGCTATAAATGAATATTCGATCGTACTTGCTGCTCATTGTAGTAATTGCACCGAATAAGGATTGCAGTCACTGTTTCAATTTTAACAAACGAATTTCTGTATCGTTTATTGGAAATAAAGATATCGACCATTTAATAAAAAATGCGCGAAAATTGATGCGCATTTTGATTGGATCCCTTTTGAAATGTGGAATACGTATCTTGCAAGAGGAGGTTTTGGAATAATTTATAAAGCTTTCTGGCTGGTTGGATGGACCATTCACTGGAACATTTGATCATGAAAAAAATAAGCTTAAACGACGTGGTGAACGTAAAATTGTGTTAAAATCATTACATGATTCAAAGCAAATTACATTAGATTTTATAAACGAGGTAAAAATTAATTGTTTCTAAGGGTAAGCATGGTGGTTTTTTTTTGTTTTCTAATAATTAAGTTTTTCAAAAATAGGTTCAGGCTGCTCTAAAGTGTAGTGATATCCTTTTTAAATATCATGGAATAACTAAAAATCCAACTACGAATGAATATTTGATAGTAATGGATTATGCAAGCAATGGGGATCTACGCAATTACGTATATCAATTCCAGCTACAAATTAACACATTTATTTGAGATTATTCAGAATTTGTGTAAAATTCACAGAGGGATTCGTGCATCGTGACTTTCACCCTGGAAATATATTATTGCATTATCAAACTCCTCAGATTGCAGATT